ATTTTGTCAGATCTACCCATTTCTTAAGAGTGGGGTTATACATTAGTCCGAAACCGGACTAGTCCGGACCAGAACCGGATTGGGCCGGGACCGAAATCTTACAAATTCTTTTATGGACCCTGGTCCATCTAGATTAGCTGGACCCTTGCTAAACGCATTCCTATATGAATGAAACACGGCTTAATTTACTTCTCCTCTTCCTGCCATCTTAACTTCTTATTCTTTTTTTTTTTTTTTTTTTTGGTTGATTTATTGTTTCCTTCTTTACAGAATCTCTCTTTCTGTTTTTTAATCTGATCTCTTTTTATTTCTTGAATTTAATTCATTCTTTTTTTTTCAAATTCTTATTTTCTCTCTCCTTTGTTCTTTGATTTTTTTTTCCCATTAATTTTTTCCATTGATTTTCTGCATTTAACGTGATGGAAATTGTCAATATTCCCGAAGAGATCAATCCAGGTTAGTTATTATGAATTCATTGTGATCAATATTATTATTTTTTTTATTTTTTATTTTATTTTATTTTGAGATGAATTTGTGGATGAAATCATTGTTTTAATATCAATTGAAATTGTTGAAGCTAATCCGATCGATTTCAATTCGTAATCCATTATGATCGATTAATTGATATTTTTTATTGTTCTCATTAATTTGATCGATTAATTTAGTAAAAAAATCCGAACATCGCAAATTTTGAACATTTAGTAAAAATATCTGAACAATCGCAATGTACCACGCCTATACTTTTGAACATTTAGTAAAAAAATTTGAACAGTTGTAAATTTTGAGCATTTAGTAAAAAAAATCTCAACATCGAAAATTTTGAACATTTAGTAAAAATATCTGAGAAATCGCAATGTACCACGCCTATACTTCTGAACATTCAATTAAAAAATCTGAACAATTGCAAATTTTGAACATTTAGTAAAAAATTCGAACATCGCAAATTTTAAACATTTAGTAAAAATATCTGAACAATCGCAATGTACCACGCCTATACTTTTGAACATTTAGTAAAAAAATCTGAACAATTGCAAATTTTGAACATTAGTAAAAAAAATTCGGACGTCGCAAATTTTGAACATTTAGAAAAATATCTGAACAATCGCAATGTACCATGCCTATACTTTTAAACATTTAGTAAAAAAAATCTGAACAATTGCAAATTTTGAACATTTAGTAAAAAAAAACCCGAACACTGCACCACCCCTATACTTTTAAACATTTAGTAAAAAAATCTGAACAATCGCCTATGGTCTAGCTATTCTAGATGGACCAGGGTGCACGATAGACTTATTGCCGGAATCTATGTTTTTCGAGGGTCGGAGACTGGACCTGAAATGTCCGTTCCGATTCCGGTCTAGACCTGAAAAAAACACGTTAACCGGACCTGAATCTACGGGTCAGAAATCTGATCGAACCTGAAACTAGGAATCCCCTATTTTTTAGAGCCGGGAACCAGACCTGAATCTACGAATCGGGTCCAATTCGGTCCAAACAGGTTCGATTCACGTCGGGTTTCATGTCCGGGTCTAAAAGTGAACAAATTTACAAAATGCAAATTCTAGTCCTACTTTTTACTTACGAGTACTACCGAAGCCATACATGCAAAATCTAGTCCAAAATTTACCACTACTCTCACAAATTTTAATTGTTTATGGCTAGACTCTAGTTTAGCCATTTATACCTACACCCCCCTAAACGACGCCGTACCACACATTCCAGTAACTTCCCCCTAAAACTGCCAGTAACTTCCCACTACCCCACCCATATATATATATAATTAAAAAAAAAAAAAAAAACTTTTCAAATAATCACATTTTTCTTTCTCATCCTCTTTCTCCAATTTCTCACTCAACCTCCATTTTCTCTCTCTACTCCATTTTCGTACATGCAATTAGCAAGTAAAATTGTCTAAAATGTCCGACATAAGAGACGATATTGCACAATCTCGACAAATTTCAACAACAACAAACCAAAAATCTAATGAGTAAGTATGTTTTACATGTTTAGTGTAAAATTAATTGAAAATTGCGAAACAAAACCCTAATTTTTTGGTATTTTTTCTTTTTGATGATGCTTCAGGAAAAAAATTGAAAATACTGGAGTTCCAGAACAATCAAAGTAAGTATTACTATTTTTTTTGGAATTATAAGCATAAATTTATTTAAATTTGCTCATATTTAAACAAGTTACTGTTTAATTTCAAAATAAACATAATTTTCCTCTATTTCTGAGACGATAATAAAAATTTAAACAAGTTACTGTTAATATTGGAATGTATGCATAATTTTGATTAAATGATCAACCAAAAAAAATATAAAGTATAGTATTGTGAAATATAATGAACAAATACAAAACAGTATATGTTCAAATTGGATTGTGTGCATATATGTGTGCATATATATGTATACATATGTTCAAATTTGTATATTATGTGTACAGCATGCAATTTATGTTTGTTTCTAAATTGTTCATTTCTAAATTTATGTGTATACATTTACTGACATATTAATTGTTCATGTCTAAATTCCATTTTGTACAAATAGAAAACATATACTTTATTCATCTGTGTAGTAAAATGAACATTTACAAAACACTATATTGTCAAAATTCATATTATGTTATATATATCCATATATGTGTATACAAATGTTCATTGCTACAACTATATTGATCATTTATATGAACTATTATGTACATTTGTCTAACATAGAAACATCATGTCAATTTTTATGATTTACAATATTAATTTACATTGTAGTGATGTACCATTTAAAATGATACACTTGATGCAATTTGACAATGGAATGTTCAATCCTTATCCTATAATTCATGAGAGAAAAGAATGTTCTGAAATAGACAACAAATTGGATAGAAATGAAGTTATAAAAAAGTGGGAACCCTATTTATTAGGAGACAACCTACATCCCAAGTAAGTTGATATACTTACAAATATTCATATATGTAATATTTAATGTACAATCATTTACTTCAATACTTAATCTCATAATTGAAATAATTTGTAAAATTTTAGTGAACCAAAAAAGTTGAAAGTGAAATTTATAATGTCAAGATCAAGGCCAGAGAAAAATCAATCAATAAGGTATAAATACTTAATAAAAATTCAATAATTAATTTTTATACAGTTACATAATCATACTTTTATGTATTAACATTCGAAAAATTTCAGTGAACAAGAGAAAGAAACTTCAAAAATAGATGATGCATCAACAAATCAAGGGTATATTCTACCTCAATGTGTTTAATGTTCATTTATTTCTTAGTTGTCATACATAATCTAATGATTTGCATTCTCAGAAAAAAAAACAACTGAAGAGGAAGCAAAAACTGATCACCTACAACAAGAAAAGGCTGGATCAGAATAAGTGAATACAGGGTATTTGATTCCCATAATGTTCATTTTCATATTACTTAATAAACATTTTTAATTATTTGAAATTAATTGATTTTCAGAAATCAATCACCTAAGAAAGACACAAGAGAGGTTGAACAACTACAACCAAAAAAGGATGCAGCAGGGTATTTTCAGAAATCAACTAATGTTCATTTTCATATTAGTTGATAAACATTTTTAATCATTTTCAATTTTTAATTTTCAGAAATCAATCAACTGAAGATGAGCCTCCAAAAGAGGCTACAGCAAAGGATCAGCCTACACAACAAGTGAAGGCTATAGCAGAGGATGAGCCTCCAGCAGAGGAAGAGCCTCCAAAAGAGGATGAGCCTCCAGCAGCAGTTGAAGAAACACATTCATACATAATGCAAAAGTATGAACATATATAACTTATTAAATGTTTCTATTCCACATTTACAATATTATTGATCATAAATTATCTGTTGCCAGGAAAAAATTAAAAGTGTCAACTCAAGGAATACTAAAAAAACTGACAAAAAACTGGAAAACTGCTCCTGTTAGCAAGGTCATTGATGCTAAAAAGGCCCCTGCTACAACTGTTGATACTGCTGGAAAAGCCACTGCTGCTGAAATGGCCCCAGCTACAACTACTGAAAAGTCCTCTGCTGCAGAAAAATCCCATGCAGCAAGTTCTGCAAATGCACAACAAAAGGCCCCTGCTGAGATTAAAAAAATCCTATTAGGTAATGTACATAATTGTTAAATTAAATATTAAATTTTTTTAATCAATAACACTTATACTGAAAATGTTCATTTACCAATTTGTAAATGATCTAAATGTATAGGTGGTGAAGAAATTGAGATTGAGGATGAAACAGAAGAAGAATTGGAAAGACAAGAAGAATTGCAAAGGGATGAGGAGTTGACAAGAATATTGAGAGGTATAAAACCTGTTGAAGAGTTAAATTTGTCTCAAAAGAGTGAAGAATCTTCACAAAATTCAAAGCAACCAAGAAGGAAAATGCTTGCAAGGAAAAATCAAAAGAAAAAAGGATTGGAAGAAAATCAGAAAAAACAGGAAAATGATTAATCACCAGCAAGAAGAACAAGAAGTAAATCACGAGGTAAATAAAATGTACAATTTCTAATATAACAATGATCATATTAAATAAAATATTACAACTATATTAATATTTATATAACAATGTTTATTTGCAGATGTTAAGTTGCCTGGCATATCAGCTATAGCAACAGCTGCTGCAGCAATTGCTGAAAACCTACCAGCAGCAACAACACCCAAAAAACCTGGGCGTCCAAGGGCTGCAACTGCAGTTGCAGAGAAACCTGTTGAGAAAACAGGGCGTACAAGGGCTGCAGTTATTGGGAAAGCAGGCTAAAAAGGTAAAAGAACATATCTAAAACAATAAATGTTCAATTACAATCTTACACTTTTAAAATGTTTATTTTACTTAATGTAATTGATCAAATAATTAGGTGGTCAGAAAAGACCTGCTGCATCAGCCAAAAGTCCTGCAAAAAAAAGAAAAGTCATAGATCAAGTGCCTTATAATGAACCATCAGAGGATGAAGAACAAGAAGAAGTCCCTGCAACAAGTTCTGCTCTTGCAGAAAAGAAAATTCTTAAAAAGTAGAACAAAAAGGTAATGTACATATTAATAAAGTTAAATGTTCAAATACAAACTAGCAATTTCCACTTTCATATATATATGTTCATTTTACATATTATAATTGATCAAATGTTTAGGTGGCCAGAAGAGGCCTTCTGCATCAGCTAAAGGCCCTTTGAAGAAAACAAAAATCATTGAAGAACAATCAAAGGAGGAAAATGAAGAAGATGATAAAAGTAATACTGATAGTGGATCAGACAGTGAGGATCCAGCTTTTGATGCTGAAAAAGAAGAAGATGAAGAAAGTGAGGAGGTGGAAGTAGTTCAAGAAAAGAAAACAACATTGAAAAAACCAAAAGCTGAAGAAAAAAGAATGGTTCTGTATGAGAGGGAACCAATAAAAAAGATTGTGAAGAGGAAAACTGAATTTTCAGTGGCTAAAAAAAAAGAAGAGGAGGAAGAAAAGAATGAAGAGGAAGTTGGAAGTTCGACAAGAGGAGGCCATGTCAAATTCATGCATTGGGTTAAGAAAATGAGTGATACACAGAAGAAATTAGTGCATGAAATAGGACTGGGGCCGTTGTTGGATATAGAACTTCCTCAGCTTGACAAACAATTCAGCCATTGGGTTTTAGATAGCTTTGAAGTCAGTAGTTGTAGTTTTGAGCTGCCTAAAGGTGAGAAAATTGAAATTGAGGTGGAGGATGTGATAATTGTATATGGTTTGCCAATGGGAGACATTCCCATTGTTGAAGCCAAATCAGACAGAGCAAGTGAAGATTTTGGTGTGTTTATAAAAAATTGGAGGTCAAAATGGCAAGGCAAAACACCATCTGTAAACCAAATTATTGCTCAATATACAAGTGATAAATTCAAAAACCAAAGGCCAGCAGAAGAAGATTTTCTCACCAACTTTTTGGTAGTTGTTGTGAATTGTTTGATGAAGTGTATTTCAAACAACCAATGCCATTTCAAGTTTCTGTTTTCTATGATGGACAAAGAAAAAATAAAAAACTTGAATTGGTGTCAGTACGTGTTTGACTCTCTCATCAGTTGCCATGTGACATGGAGAAAGAGTGGAGGAAAAGGATTCTACAATGGACCACTGCAATTTCTGATGGTAAGTTTACAACACACAATAGTAAATTATAAAATGTTCATTTTAGTAATAATGAATGTTCATTAACAAAATGTTAAATATCGATTTCGTCTAAAATTTTAATCTTTTATATTAATTGTTCATTTGTATTATATTATATGTTCATTTATAGTAATGGGTTTTGGTGCAGCTGTTCTACTTTGACAGAGTTCAAAGATTGAACAAAAAACAACCAAGAACAATTCTAATAATTTCTTGTTGGAAAAGGGATATGTCACTTGAAAGGATAAAAACAGAAAATGATTTGAACTATGGATATGGAAAAGTCCTTCCAAGAATAGAAGAAAAGCCTGCAGACAATCCTAAGGTACAAAATGATCATTTATAAATTATGAAATGTTCAATATCAAAACACATAATGTCTTATATGATTTTTCTTATATGTTCTATAAATGACAGGTCTTTATGAATGAATTTGCATCAATGGTACAAGAAGTTGGTGCATCTTTGGCAAGACTTTCTACCAAATTGGTTAAGGCAAAAGAGTTCTTCCCTGGGAATCAGTTGGTCAAGAAGGTAGATGAAGTGTTGGGAAAGATGGCAAGAGAACCATCAATTCTCAGCCAAGATGAAGAAATATTTGGATCAGAGGATTTTTTGAATGCCATAGCTCAAATTGAGAAGGAACTGATAGAGGCAAATGAAGCGGAAAAAAAGAAAATAGGAAATGAGAAGGAATATGATATAAGGAAGGCATTCAGTTTGGGTTGCAACTTAACTCCCCCAACTCCAACAACTGGTAAATATGCTTAATTAAAAACTGTCATTAATTTGAATATCCTTACTTAAAGAGTATAATATAATTAAAGAATTAAAATTTAATTTATTTGAACACAGAAGCACAGATTAATGTTGCAGCCACAACTTCAACAACAACTGATGCAAATGTTTCTTCTAAGCCAGAAGAGGGTAAAGCTTTAATATCTATGTACAATTATGAAAAGTATAATGTTCATTTATAAAATAATAAGTTTGTTTAGTCTAAATATTCAAAAAAGTATATATTCAGAATAACAAATGTTCATTTACATTAACAATTTCATATATTTTAAATCAACAGAAAGAGTTGGAGGTTCAAATTCTGAAGAACCACAAGATGGAGGAAATTCAAAAAAAGGTAAAAAGTTCACTTATATAGTATTAAATGAATATTTGTGATTGTAAGATATTCTTCTTTAATGATACTAAGTCTATATATGTGTGAATGCAAATTAATACAAAAAGCATTAAACAAAGGTGAAGGTTCAAAATCTGAAGCATTAGAAGAAAATGTTGAAGGAAATTCAAAGAGTGGTACAATGTTCACATATTACAAATAAATGATCAAATTATTAAGTATAATGTTCATTTCTAGTTATATTAAATTTTTTTCATGTATTTTGTTTGCAGCATCTGATTCAAAAGTTGGTGATCCCAAGACACCAACTGAAAATAGGGAAGCTGCTGGAGATATTTCTACAATCTTGAAATCTCCAACATGTTCAAGTATGGAAGATATCCTTGATAAATCAAACAAGAAAGGAGGAAGCATGGGGTAAACATGGAAGACCTATCTTGTTAGAAAATATATAATTTTGAATGGACATGTAGAATAAATTTGGTTATAAAGTGTAATTATTTTGGACAGTTTTTGTTTATGAAGTTAGTAATGGATATGTATTATAAAATCAGAAGGGAATATTTTGCTTTAGGGTAGGAATGCACAATTTAAGATATGTAAATTATGTATTTTAATTTAAATGTTTTAGTAATATTTTAAGTGTTTATTGTTCAAAAAAGGAGAATAATGTTTTTTTTATATTAATTACTTTTCATTACTAACCATGATTAATATTTCAGAGAAGACAAGAAGAAACAGATATATGCTTCAAATGTGAAGGAAAGGTAAATGATTATTCCACATATACATGTTCTTTTACATTAAACTGAATAATCATTTATACTATATTTATATTCAGTGAGACAAAAAAGGATTCAAAAGAAATTGAAACAGAGAAGATTCAAATTTTCAAAAACACAACAGGACAAAGGTAAATGGTCTTTACATGTGTATAGATTTATAATGTTCATTATCAATATACTAAATGATCATTCATAATTCAATATTTATTCAGTGACAGAGAGAAGACTTTGGAAAGAAAAAAATCAAGAGAAGCTGAGAAGGCAAAAACTGAGATTGCAAAGGAAAAAGAGATAAGGTATTACTATTTGTTCTTTATATAAATTATTTGTTCATTATTAAAAAAATTCATATTTGTATTAATATATGGTCACATTAACTAGGCCACAAAGGGAAATCCCAAATGTTCCTCTTGCTTTCCGATCTCCATACATGGTCAAGTACAAGGATTTGTTCAAAGATGAAGACACAATGAACAAACTTGTAACAGACTATGCTTATAGTGGAAAAGATCAAAGGTATACATCACTTACTTCATTAAAACTTTAACATTATGTTTGTTGTAAACTCATAAAATTTAAAAAATTGATATTTTGCAGTGAGCTACTATACTATGATGGAGTGAATTCGATCAATAGGGAAGAGATGAAAACTCTTGAAGGGGATACATTAGTAGTTAACAATGTGATCGATTCATGGGCAGTACTTCTGAATCAAAAAAGGTCAAAGAACAAGTTATACTTTTCAACATTTCCACATGTAAGTCTTTATTGAAATTACACATGTATACATTGGTGTACTAAAATGATCAATTCACTTATACTAGATGATCATTATGAATATTAAAATGATCCTTGTGCATTATTTGCAGCAAATTATGTATGCAAATACAGTGTGTCCTGAAGGATCATCAATGGAGCTTAGAATTGCATACTTCAAAGAAAGAATAACAAATGAATTGAGGTTATACAAAATCAAGAGTGCAGTTGGATATCAACAGGTATTAATGAACAATATGGAATTATAATATGTTCATTTACATTAATGTGTATATATAATAATATTGTGTACTATGTACAGATTTTTTTTCCAGTGGCCATATATGCACATTTCTATCTTCTATGCATTGATCATATCAATGAGACAATGCATATAATTGACAACAGGAAACTGCCAAAACATCAAACAATTGCAACAAAGTATGAAAACCAACCCCAATTGGTGGTAAGTATATTGTTTAATAGATATATAAATGATCAATTTGTTTATACAAAATGATCAATATTGAAAATTAAAATGATCAATATTAATATGATCCTTTGAATTTTTTTTTTCTGTATATGTTGCAGTTAAAAGGATATGCAGAATATTTGAAAGGGTTGGGGTATGAAGATGCAGATTCTATTGAGAAATATAAGGTGGTTTTGCAAAAAATGAAGTGGAGGAGCAACGAAGATTACACCAACTGTGGAGTTTACATTATGAAACATATGGAAACTTTCACTGCTGATCCCAATGAAGAATGGGTTTGTGACCTAAAACCAAACAATGTAAGTAAATTTCAACAAAACAAAAAAATATACTTCATGATCACTTTATAATACATAATGATCATTTATATCCCATTAATGTTCATGTTTATAATAACTTATTTTCTTGGAACAGGTGAACCAAATCAGAAAGCTCAGAGTACAATACACTGCTGAACTAATGCTGAATGAAGGAAACGGGCAGTCACAGAACAATAGAAGAGCAACAAGAAGATTTGCACAAGCTTAATACAATATTTTCATATATAGACATATATATGATCATACTTGCTTTCAGTATTTGTATGGACATAAGTTTTTGTTGTTGTTCAAGTAAAGACAAAATTTATTATCTTTTTAATATTTACAAATAGTAAAGTGTTACATTATAATTGCCAGTTTTAAATCATCTAATATAATTATTCCAATTTAATAATGGTTCTTACTATTTAAAATAGTATATGATCACTTCCAAAAGCAAAAATAATCATTTATAGAACATTTAAGAATAGTTTGAAAAAAAAAAGATTCAAATTACTTAATAAATCAAAATATAAAAACCTTAAAGCACTTGAATCTCTATAAAGTTGAGACAACTAAAAATGTTGATAGTTAAACACCAAAACATAATTGCATATTGATTTACTCTCTTATTTACCATTTGTAGCCAATCTCTTAGCCACACTAGTATCAAAAAACGCTAATAACCTATCATATTTGGTTGAAATCTGTGGAGAACCTCCTTGAGTACTTCTTGAAACAGTAGGAGATCCTTGAACATTCATTGAAACACTAGGAGAAAGTAGAACATTCCTTGAAACACTAGGATAAACTTGCACATTCCTTGAATTTCCTTGAGTACTTCTTGGAACATTAGGAACATCATGCACATTTCTTGAAATACTAGAATCAACTTGAACATTCCGAAAACAGCCTTGAGGACTTCTTGGAACATTAGAAGGAGCTTGAACTTTCTTCGGAACACTAGAATGAACTTGAACATTTCTTGGAGCTTTTGGAGGATTTTGAACAATGCTAGAAACTTTAGAAGGAGCTTGAGCATTGATTTGAGCATGCGCAACTGTGGGAAATTGTACATTTCTTGGTTTCTTTGGTGGCAATTGAGAACTTGTTGGAAAATTATCAACATCATGAGCAATTGCAGCTGTTTTACCCTAATGATCAAAATTAAAATAATTAATGATCAAATTCAAAATTCATAATGACCTTATACAAAATTAAAAGGTAGATGATTAATATTTCACCTTAACAATAGAAGATATGTCTGGATCAACAGTAACGTTTGATTGCATAGAGCTATATCCATATTCCTATAATAAAATGAAAATTATAAAAACATTATAATCACAACTTAAACTACTAAAATGAACAACTACAATTACATACATAATCATTTACATAATACCTGTTCAAAGTCATTTGAAACACTATCATCTGAAGGGATATCTTCTACAATGGCAGTCTTTTTATTACAAACCTTGAAAAAAAATTAAAAGTAAAAATGTTTAATATTCTAAAGAATTTGATAAAAATAGATAAAAAAAAAAGAAAATAAGTTTTTACCTGAGCACTTGGATCTTCAATCACAATTAACTCATTAGGATCAGCCAAAGAATTAGCATAAGATATAGGACACCCATTCTCGTCCAATTCCTAAGGCAAAACAAAAATGTTCAATTCTTGAACATAAATGATCAATAACAAAAACATAAATGTGCATTATTACCTGAACTACTGCTTGACCTTTAGATCTTTTATAAGGAGTGTATACTGACTTTTTCTTCAACCACTGACCCCTGGCTTTGTTATAAGCCTTCTCTAAATTACTCTTAGGCCTATAATTCCTCTCTCCAATAGGTCTTGATTTTGCCGGATTCTTAACTTCATGATCAACAATTTCAATACCTTCAACCGGTTCATTAAAATCAATAGTACCAGTAACACTCTCAATCTTTTCTTTTAAAAGATTGAAATAACATTCAACCTCTGCTCTAGCATTCAAAGAGTGTTGACAACTTGTTACCAACTTAACAAATTTCCTTAGTGTTTGTGTCCTCCAAACACTTGTAGATACTACATTGGTTTTCATTGTAGGTTCATCAAGGCCATGACTACACATAGCAGCCTTAGTCCACCTCTTACATATATAGTCATCTGGAATCTTATGAACACAATTCATATGATAAATTCGAAGAGCATGACAACAAAGCAAACCCATTTCACTAAACAACATGCATGTACAACATATTGCATGTGTTTCTTTATTAAAAACAACCTCGTGCTTGATCATATCTTTCCCAGGTCTCCACAAATGATGATAATATTCAGGAAAATTCACACCAGCATCCTTATGATCACAAGCAGTACCCTTAATGAACTCTTCCTCAAAAAGCACATAAGCTTGAATAGTATACAATGATCTAGCATGAACAAGAATCCCAATGTATGCAAAAGCCAAATGACGATTACCTCTGATTGTATTATAATCTTTCCCTTTTTCTTTGCTTCTCCACTCTTGAACCACATCGAGAAACACTTGATAGAAATCACATAGACCTTGTGTCTTGTTAAGCCTTTGAGAAACTGATTTGTTAGTTGTCTCACTACGTTGAGATGAAAGCACACCTCCTGACCAAAATTTCTTTGAAAAAGTTGGACACCACATCTCTTTGATTTTATACAAATCATTCAACCAATCAACATTTGCACAGTCATATTTCAAACAACATTCTGTAAATGAAACATGATCATTAAGCATAACAGTTATGATCATTATAAATAAACATTTATAAAAAACTAAATGTTCATTTCTGTAAAAATTATTTAAGAAGCTAAACAAGTATAAAGCAGAAGTACCTTTTCCAATAATGCTCAAATTCTGGTGGAGTTTCACATTACTTCAGTAAATAACCAAATAAATCAGTGAAACCATCCAAAGCTCTCAACGCCCCAATGTGTTTCTTAGAATTTTGTTCAATATGCCACACACATAATCTATGATGAACACCTTTGGGGAAAATATTTCTTATCCCAGCTGCAATTGCTTGAGCTTGATCAGTCATAATAGTAATAGGACTTCTCCTTCCCATAGAAGTTAGAAAAGTATCAAATAACCACTCAAATGATTCTGTTCTTTCATTAAGTATAAATCCCATGCCAAACATCACATTATTTGCATGATGATTCATACCCACAAATGGAGCACAAATCATACCATATTTGTTAGTCCTATAAGTAGTATCAAAAACTAACAAATCACCAAAGTAATGATAATCTCTCATCATCCTTCCATCTCTCCAAAAGAAATTAACCAATGCACCATTTTCATCTTGTTCAAAATCATAATAGAAATCTGCTTCATCAATTTGTCTCTTAGCAAAAAATTTGATTAGTTGATTGCTGTCACCTCCCCCAAGTTTAGCTGTCTTTTCAACAGAAATAGCATTATAAGCATCAGGAGCTGTAAAACAAAGGTTAGGAGACCCTCCAACCTCCTTCTTCAAAGCTCTCAAAGAATCAGAAACTTTAACTCCACTCAATCTAAGTGTAGAAATGAAATTAATATGTTCCTTAGAAATATCCCTTTGAGACCTTATTAAATGTCTCTTGTCAACAGGAATCATTTCATGATTATGAACCATCTCATGTCTTGTACATGTATATACACCTGAACGGTCAATGCTAAACTGCACAAAAGCTAAGCAACCAGTCCTTATGTTAAGTCTCTCATACAACCTATTATTCCTGCACTTATCATCTTTTAAACCCTCATTTGTACAAACAAATCTTTTCATAGAGAATGAATCATCTCTTCGCCTCTTACTTTTTCCAATTCTAATTCCAAAGCCCTTTCTAAATGCATATTCATTAAACATTTCATAAGCCACATTTTCAGAAGGAAATTGTTTCCCATAAAATTCAGAACTAGCTGCTTCCTCAAATAAAATAGCATTCTTTTTTTCCACTGCAATATTAAAATGTAACAAATGAACACAAATAATAGCAATAATGTACAATAACCACATGTAAACTGTTGATGATCATTTATCATTACATAAATGAACATATATCAAAATGATAATAAAACATATAAATGAACATTTATGATTACATAGATAAATGTAAATTACAGTAATTACACCTATGTTAACGTAAATGTACATATAATATAGCATACATGAGCATTAATTGAATGCCAAATTTTATAAAACTATAGACAATCATTAAAATGCAGAAAACTGGAAAAAACATCAATCGAATAACAACATTACAAAGAAAAACAATAAAATCACAACAATACATCACAAACTATAAATTAAAATAATCATAAATAAAAATGAAATCAAATATTATAATCGACCATAATTTTGATTTTAATTCATACAATAAGCAATAACAATTAGCTAAACAATAAAATAAAAAATTATAATTGAGCATTATATAAACTATAGTTCATACAATTAGCAAAACTATGAAATCAAAAATCAAAATCGAACTATTACACGCGAAAAACAGAGCATAATCAAAATCGAATGATTGAGGAAAAAATTACTCACATTGTTTCGAAAACGAGTCGACTAAACCAACTCCAGCAGAAAAAATAGAATCACAATCACGATCAAAAGCAATTAAGCTAGAATCACTGTCACGATCAAACGCAATTGAGCTAGAAATTTCCATGGAAGAAGAGAGATAAAAATTTGGGGAAAAATAAAAAATGCAGGAGAGAGAAAATGAAATAAGTAAAATATGAGATAAATAAAATGGAAATTAGGTTAAGAAAATCATTATATAGTTGCTTGAATAGAAAGTTAACAAAAATGAAAAAAGATGAAGAAAAAAACAAATGGCAGAATGGTTCAATATAAAACGACGTAGTAGCATGGGGGTGTAGGAAAAGCTGGCTACCCTAAAGTCTAGGTAAAAATTTGTACACAAATTTACAAAACTGGGCTTAATAAGCACAGCCCAAAATATTCGTAACCCAATCTCCAAAATCCAACCCACCACTTCATCTTAAAACACAACCTCTTTCCATTTACCTTCTTCATTCAAAAACCCTAATAAAATTGCTCAGCCGTTGAGTTTTCAGATCGACATTGTTAGGGTTTTGAAGCTTTCATCGCCATGGTTCGTCATTTTTCCATTTTCTCTCTCCTATTTTTCTGTTGATTTTTTCATTGATTTCTTTCTCTATTGTTATTTCTGTGATTCAGACGTTCAAGAGGAGAAATGGAGGTCGCAACAAACACGGCCGTGGTCATGTCAATTTCATTCGTTGCTCCAATTGCGGCAAATGCTGCCCTAAGGTCTTCCTTTTTTTTTTTCTTCATAATTTCACTATTTTTTTCTTAATTTTGATGTTAATTATACTACTTTTAGTTGGCAATTTTCTTATAAAAGCTCTCCAATTTTATGTGTTTATATATAATGCTGAGATTTAGTTTGATATTTTGATTTTTGAGCTGTTTATTTATTTATAAATTGATGTTTTAGCTTGTTTGATCCAAAGATTGTATTATTTTGAGCATGTTAATTTTAATTTTATTCATGTCAATAAGATGCATCAGTTATAGAACTGTTTCGATTTCATTGTTAAGATTTTGACGTTCTTTACTGAATATATGGGAATGTAGTTAAGCAATTGTTAATTTTAGTTTTTACATTCTTGCTATGCTCCATTTCTTTGACGGTTGCTTGTGACGATTCATGTTAGCTGACCCCAAATCATTTTGGGACTAAGGCTTTGTTGTTGTTGTAGTATTATTGCAAATTTAAGTAATGGTCATGATTTTGAAGTTAAATGTCTTTTTGAAATTCTGTTTTTTGTTGTTATTGTTAAAGGACAAGGCAATCAAGAGATTCCTTGTGAGGAACATTGTGGAGCAAGCTGCAGTTAGGGATGTCCAGGAAGCTTGTGTTTATGATGGTAATTTTTTTGTGTCGATGTCGTTCTTGTGTGCTGGTTTTTCATCTTTTTGCCACTATTTTCCCTTCGGAGGAATGGACTAAATGTGAATTTTGATGTATGTATTTTAGGTTACACTCTTCCTAAGCTCTACACCAAGATGCAATACTGTGTCTCTTGTGCCATTCACTCACATGTTGTCAGAGTTCGATCACGTGAGAAGAGAAGAGTCCGTGAGCCACCACAACGTTACAGACGCAAGGTATTGTCTCTTGACTGGGCATTTAACCCTCAATAGTTTAGTCACTGCAAACTGTTGAGTCTTGTTTCTGTGCTAGTGTTTATGATAGTGCTTGAAATCTTGAATCATACTTGTTACATGTTCATTCAAATTATGCTTTACGCATATAAAATATGGCTGTTCTAATTTGCCTGTATTAATAAAGTCCTGAAGCATGACATTCTCTTCTTTAGGCTGTATAGCTTGTGTTGATGTGGCTTTTGGAATTTAGATAAATAGGTTTAATGCTGCCTTGCTTTCCTAGTGCAGTGACAGTCCTAGTTTGTAGCTTCTTAGGAGTTAGGAGGGTTGATACTTTTGTGTAACTTATCAGTTTGTTATATGTTTTTATCCCCCTATCTGATAGGGTGCTGGGCAATTGTAGAAACAGGATGGATTATATGTTTTTTTTTTTTTTACTTATCTGTTCTTTAATAAACACGCCTTTAGCTGGTTAACTGTTTTATTACTGTATAATGTGAACTGATATAACTTTAAACCTCATTTCCCTGCGGTCCTGCCTCCAAAGGTTTTGGTGGTGTTTGTCCATGTCTTTTTTAATGATAGTAGTTCAGTAGGATTTGGAAGATTATGAATAACATATGTTTCTTTTCATTGATCAGGAGGATGCACCTAAGACTGGTCAAGCACCACCTCGCCCTGGTGCACCACCTGCTAGAACTTGAGCAATTTTTGTCTCCTGAGGTCTCTTGTGAACAGTTGATTCTAGAAATCATGTTCTAATGCTTTCAGCTGACAATTTTGCAATGAGTTCAGCAGTACGTTACTCCAATTTGTTAGTTTTAAACTAGTTCCCGGTTTTGGGCATTTTTGTACTTCTGAAAGACTATTTTTCACTCATATTTTTGCTGGCTCTTTGGCCTATTTGTTTATCATTCCGTATTAGAAAATTACATCAAATACAGAGGTCTGCCTATTGGCGTATTGCAGTGCAGTAGTCTTTTGAAAACAGTGCCTATCTTCGACATATAGAGGCCTATAGAGTAAATGTGAAATTCATAATTAAAATTTTAAGCTCTCAATTTTCATAAATGACTTTAATTAATAAATTGTCTATTATCAAGAGTATACGTAGTACTAGTATATTGATATACAACATGAACTTATTATGCTTATGCATGAATGCATTTATTCTTTAACCTAGTGATAAAATGGTTCATTTTGGCGAGGCTGTTAGGGATAGTGGCATTCTTCTGTTTCGATGCTTCAAGCTCAAATGCAATAATGGAACACCATCTTTCAGGTTCTCTTCTAATTAGCATTATTGACCTTCCTGCAATTTAATCTTATTTCTCCATTGTTCCCAGTCAAGGGGTTGATATTGCCCATCTTGATCATTGAGTGGACGAATTGATCGAAAAACATGCTTTGGTTATGACTATAATTGTTGACAAGATATACAGTAGCGGGAGATCCAGAAGTTGAATATAGATCTTGATCTGTGATTAGGAGGCCTCCATTACTCTGAAGATTGATGAAATAGCTATTGTCAAATGTTCTGGGGCTTCCAAGATCAAGCTCTGTCTCAGGATCCATACCTCCATTTTCGGGACAAGTTTCTTGCAACTTCGACAAGTATAATGGATTCAAACCTGGACTTCCAGGAGGAGCAGAATTATATAGCCGAGGTTTCATTATCGAGCAGTGAACACGTCCAATTGTATGAGCACCTACACTCAATTTCTAGTTAATGACCTTACAGAAAAATGTTGATATATAACTCAGACCAGAATATAGATTTGGTGCAAGTGTGCAGCAAGCAACACGGCCTCTTATAAGATGTGTGTAAAGCGATGATAAAAATATTATAACAAATAGCAAAAGGGGTAAGTCGTAAAATAACACAAATTATAGGTCTGGTGTAACGAGCAACTATGGCTTAAACGCGCTATGATCCTTGACAGGAGGCTAATATTGGCATACGTGCGTCCGTGCGTATAGTGACAGACTTACCAGATAATGCAACAAGGTCAGTGAGATCGAGGCCTTTCTTGAAGAATTTGGAGGCAACATTGCTCAAGTTAACATAGGCAGAAGGAACATCTACGTCGGCTTTTGCTGGAAATGCCGCTGTACCATCCTTCCTTCCTAACATCACAGTCCATGAAGGCCCTCCTGACTGCAAGAGTGATTAAAATGTAGTAAGATCAACAATTTAACGAGCATATAACACGAGCACTTATTAGTGAGTGATGTATTTCATATTAAGATTTTATAGTGAATCGATTGAAATTTAGTACATCTTTCATGTTACTTCATCCAAAATCTTCATTCTTAATGTCTCTGCACTCTGTCGAGACATGTTAATGAACTTAATTAATTGAGTTTATAAATCAAAGTTGATTATTAATCGTAGATACGAGCTGAGTATGCATGCATAGAGCTTATATATGTATAGCTGATGCGATGTTTTACCAAGGAAACCGAAGTCTCAGCTGCTAGAGTCACGATATCAGCACAAGACACAACTCCAGGACAAGAAGCCTCGACAGCAGACTTGATCTTGTCAGTAACTTCGTAGCCTCTTGCAAACTTCAATGCTGGCGAATCTTTCTCACTTCTTATGGTAGGACTATTGTCCAACAAATTTGATGCATCACATCCCTACAACACCAACAACTTGCCATTAAGTGTTATAATCTATTTTTAGAAATATATCATGCACTAATTGTAAATGCAATATAAGTGCATGAATATGCATACATTATCAAAGAAATCATGGTAATGCTGTCGAAGGCGGGCAGCTGCAATGTCAGGATCAGATAACATTGCCTCTTGTACCACATTTCTAACGATAGTTTTAACGTTTGGGCATGAAGTAGCATAATAATCCGGCCTTAGTTGAGCAAATGAAGACGGCATGGTAAGCAACATTAACAACAGCAACATATTGGTAGCATCAATTGTTATGGAATTGAATGAACTCAATTTTATTTGCCTATGTCTTAATTAGATTGTATATATGTTGACATATGTATAGGACATTGAATTAGGTAAGTTTTTTTTGTTATGCTACTAATAATTATGGCTGTTCATGCAAATATTAACAATTTAAGTGCAACAATGCTTGGTTTGGTGTTTCACTTGGCATGTTGATGTTGGACCCAAAACAAGTGTATGCCCAATGTATTAGGCATCTTAATGAAATGACATGAATTGATATCTAGGTGCGGATTTTGGGTTTATTTGTTAGAACAATAAACTTGTACATAGATAGAATAATCTGTTTTATGTTTGTTTGTCGTTAAGCTAAACAAGTGAATTTCTATAGTATTTACAATTAATTTAGTAGCATAGGTGCGGATTTTATGTTTGTTTGACTTTTACCACCGTACCACAAAAAAACACGAAATTGTTTTTTACCATCATAATTTTTAAAAGTTTTAGTTTACCATCAAATAAAAATCTAAAAATTGTTTTTCACTAGTTGTCGATAATATATGAAAAAAATTTAGATTTTGCAAACATGTCAAAAATTAATGTCATGATTTAAATTTGTTGTGTAGGTTATAAAGTTTCATAGTATTAAATATTTTAAATTTTTTACTAATTAATATTTAAATATATTTTTTTGGATGTTTATAAATATTTAATTATTTATACCTAAGGTAAAACTAGTGTATTGACAAGTGTGTCAAGTTTGACAATATCATTTATTCCAAAACATATGTTGTATTTTCTGTGAGATACCACCATTGTTGAACATGATATTAAAGGTAAATGTGTGATTAAACTGTTGAGAATTCGAAGTTTAATGGAAAAGGATTATTGATCAGGATACATGATACATATATAGACTGTTTGTGATAATTCTATCAACAGTACAACAGCGACCCAAACAAGGTAATGAAGTAATATGTCATAGTGAGCTCTAAGGTTAAGCCAAGTGATCACTTTTCTTTGAAATTTCTCAATCTCTAAAATAAAATAAAATAATTTTTTTTTAAAAAAAAAAAAAAAAAAAAAAAAAAAAAAAAAAAAACTTCTTAGTAAATCTTTGTAGAAAATCAAAATATTGTGGATTGTGGTTATAATAGATAAGCTATATATCATATATGGAATGTGGACTTGCAGAGAACCAAGAGTTTAAATTGAAAAGGGTTGAGCATATGTTGCGACTATATCATCTTTAACTGCGGACTTTACGAAAGCCTCCGTTGCACGAGCAATGTTAAGGATTCGATCAAAAATGGGGCTGGACAAGTGATCATAGTCATTAGAGGATGGGTTCAGTGGCGGACCCAGGAATTTCCGACTGGTGAGTCACAATTGATAACCAAATATGTAAAAAGAAAAAATTTACCAAAATTCCCAAGAAAAATTATTTACAAAGATCATCCAAATAGAAAATTGACAAGATTACAGTACTAACTAATAATTAACAAGTTTAAAATTGACAAGACTAAAATTAACAAACTAATAATTAACAAGCTAATAATTGACAACATGACAAGCTTATCTCTCTAATAATTAACAAACTAATAATTGACAAGATTAAAATTTGTACAAGCATTAGGTTCACATTTCATCAAAAACCCAACAACATTAACAAAAGGTTCAAAGTTAGTATTTTTTTTTTAAAAAAAAAAACTTAAAAAATAATTTATTTTTTTATTTTTTTTAAAAAACTTAAAAAATATTTTGGGCCCTGGTGAGTCATTTGACCCACCAGGCATAAGGCCAAGTCCGCCAATGGATGAGTTGGCTCGCAACCCCTCGTTTACTAGATCTTTCCATGCGTCATCAATAATTTTCGTAAATATTTGCAACACTTCTTCCTAACTCGTATTATAATCCTTCATGTAGCATTCCACACTTGAGGCAAGGCGCACACCTCTAGCTAGCTCTGCCTGTTATCAGTAGATACATGTTAAAAAGCATCACCAGAGTTTAAATACAATATAATACATCCCATTAGAAGAATACATGAATGAAATTTTATAATGTTCTTAACAAAAATTGTTTTTGTCCGTTCATAATACTCTTAATATATCGATCTACTTTAATTTATTCCATTTTTGATAATTTTCTTTTACTACATTACCTCTTGTACCCCCACAATGTAATCTAAAAAATATACACATTTTCATTCTCTTACTTTATCGACCTATTTTTTTTAACATACACCCACTTTTTTACACACTTTTTCTCTCTTACTTCATCTATTTTTTTTTCTTCTTTATCCACCCAACTTTCCCCAAACTCCCACTTCCCTTAATTCTTATGCTAACATTAAAGGTTAATTACATTACGAAATAACATTAGTACATCCAAATCAAAGACCTGAAATTGCAAAATAGACATTAAATATTCATTCAACTAAAAACTTAAACTGGTGATTGAAGTTCTGAATTAATTTATTAACTTTATCGTGCGGCCCCTTTATATGAGAGTTAGTTAGACTTAAAATGTGGATACAAAATGAGTCTCCCCATACTCAGCGTTAAATATTTCACTAGAAATGAGGGGTATAGTGGTCAGTCTATGAGTTTTGAACCGCCCGTGACCTTTATTGTCATGCTAATTCTTGGTAACATATATAGACCATCTCAACCAAAATTAAAGTTTAAGCTGATGATGGTTGAAACCCAAAATTAGTTTATTTACTCTATCAATAGAGAGACAAATTAGTGTTGTGCAGTTACTAAAGTTAAGCATTCAAAGGATTGATAATGTAAGGAACGATGTTCAATGAATTAATTTCTTACCTCGCAAGTGGTCATGTCATCCATGAGTCGGCCAATGTTTGCAGTAGCCATGGTCGTCGTATTATACTGCATTAACTGTATATAAAGGTTTAACTTCTGTAATCTCTTCCATACCCATCAAGCATAGAGTTTCAATTAACTGCGAGCAGGAGGTATTCCTCCCATTGAACATGTATTCTTCAAATGTTGGCACATATTTTGACTTGACCCATTTCACCTCAGTAAAGTAGTTTCTTATCAATCTCTGCACCTGAAATCAACGTACAAAATTGTTAAATTTCATTGATCGTTAAAGCCTTCAAGGTTCATGTATACGTTGCACACCTTGCACACCTTGCACTCAACACCCATATATAAAGAGATGGAGCATTGGACAAGTTATAATACTACCTCCCTTTCACATTTTGGGCAATTATTGAATTTTTTATGTCTCACAAAAAACACCCAATTGCTGCACATAATGTGAAACGGAAGTAGTATAAGCCTAATTGAGGATCCACTGGAATCACGACAATATATTAAAATCAAGAATTACTCTTATTAACATAAGGCATTACTTGTTCTCTTGCAAAAATACCAGCGTATGGCTTTCCAATGCTGGTCATCTCCTTGGCAACATCATCTAAAGTATTAATGACAAACTCGTACATGACTTTCATATAATTTGCGGGAAATTTCTCCATTGAACTCAAGTCCCACCTGTGGAATAAGCATGTATACACGATTAGTCAGGCTTTGGCATATAGTTTTGGAGCGACGACAACTAGTACATAAAAATTCATTTGCTATACAACAAATGCTACGATATCATATAAAAGCAGCACTTCATAATTTGTTAATTTTTTATAGAAAAATGTTATTCATATCCCTAAAAGAAAAAAATATTAATATAATATCTTCATTAATTACACTGATTTGCGAGTAATTTTTCATACATTCCTAAATTAATACTCCCTTCGTTCCCTTTTATTTTTTACGTTTCCATCTTAGGTGTTCTTTTTTATTCTTTACATTTAGTATCTTTCCTTTTTTAGTCATAAATTATAAACAAAATTAGCCTTGCTTTACAATTTAAATACTCAAATATCTTTACTTTTCCAAGTGCATTTGTACTTTTAGTACTATTTTAATGGTTTTCTAATACTTATTATTACTTTCTCTCCTCTCTCTTCTTTTTCCTTCTTACTTTCTTCACCCCACATATACAATATTATTTTTTTTAAAGTAAAATTGTACTTTTAATCATTGAATTATTCCAATATACCTCTACTTTACACAATTTTTTAATAACCGCGCATAATTTCAAACGTCAAAATTAAAAGGGAACGGAGGGAGTACCATATAAGGAAACATATTTAATGCTTATTTGTACCCATAAAGGCTACATATAACATTTTTTTATAGGTAAGAAGAACAACCCTATTGATGCAGAACCTTTCACAAGTCACCAAGGTCCGAAATTGTGGTCAAGACACTTTAAGAATGGAATAGCGTTGAAGGATAAGTGGATCCACACAGTCAAAGTTGGAAGGTTACGTTCTTTCCTAACCACTAGGCCAACACTTGTCTAGTTGTATTTCAAATTTTCAACAATATTGAACTAGTAAAAACTCGACATATATTCATTCATCTCAAATAGTATGTACCTCTCAAATGCATCGGTGAGACACTCGAGTTCCTCGAACATATGCGTCATATGTATCATCTAATACCCCGAGAAGAACGTTAAATTTTGGCTAATAATATTCTGGCAAAAGAATATTGAGGCCCGTAATGCACAATAGTTGAGAAGTAGTGACATTCAACATTTCTCTGTCTTATATGAGGAAATTTTCTTGCCAAATCTAAGTCTTTGCACCATCTGTTGAATAGGAAAAGTCATCAATAATTGATTAGAATTGAGGATGATGGAGTAATTTTTAGAAATTCTAGGTTCTTTTGACCCTTTCTTTCTTCTTTGATTCTAGTCAACATACCTAACAAGTTAACAGTAATATATACTTCCTATGTCTCTTTTTTATCTTTATATTTTTGACCATTTATCTCGCTCTCATAAAAATAATTTCAAATGTAATGATTAATAAGAAACATAGGGATTATTTTTTTATTATTATTAGAATAAAATATGCTTTTTTGGGAAACTAAAAGGAGATCATAATTTGACGTGCCTAGTGTATGAGGGGGAAAATAATCCATAGGAAGCATTATTACCCTCGTTTTGAGGATCTATTAATCTAGCGGGATGATGGATAAGTATATTATTATTACCACAAATTAGATTACTAATCCCCATATTAGCTTTGGTGATAAGTTCAATAAGGTCTAATAAGTTCAATAAGGTTTAATAAGTTTCAATAAGTTAAATAGGTCTGATAAGTTCCAATAAGTTAAATAAGGTCTAATAAGTTCCAATCAAGTCTAATAATAATAAGGTTTGATAACGTCCAATAAGTTTCAATAAGGTCCAATATAATAAGTTCTAACAAGTTCAATAAGGTTAACAAGTTCCAATAAGTTCCATAAGGTCTAATAATTAAGTTTAATAAGGTCTAATAATAGGTTAATAAGGTCTAATAAATTTAGATAAGTTCAGTTCAGATTTTTTTTTTTTTTTTTGCCTCATTTGACTTTTATAGTCTCCAATACTAGGCTACTCAAAACAAATACAACTCTATTTCTTTGCACGTAAAAATTAAAAAAACTTTATATTAATAAAATATGCAATGAGAAGAATCCAACAATAAAATCCCACATGATTATATTATTTTTGTTTTTTTTTTGAAACATATATTATTTCTTATGGATCAACAACAATTAATTGTCAAAATTTTAAAAGTTTGACATATTAAGCAACGAGGCAAAAATTTAGAAACGAAAGAAATATAAGTTTTAAAATTAACAAGATATTGGGGATTGGGAGAACAAACGTAAATAAAAATATTAATGGGGAAATGAAATTTCATTTGAAGATTTTTTTTTTTTAGGAAAAATACATTGAAACCTTTAATTACCAAAATAAATAAATAAATAAATAAGAGGAGCAAAAATACAGTAAAGAAAATATTAACAATATTTGGGTCAAATTTTTAAAAAATTTGACTAAACGTTCTCATTAATCTATACTATAATAGATTAATATAGTCATGTGGAATCTTGTTTAATTCGTCTCATTATATTTTTTATTACTATAAAACTTTTATAATTTCCAGATATATAAAAATGAAGGTATTAAGTATTTACGTGTTAAGACGCGTTTTAAAGACCATAAAAAGTAAAAAATAAGGCAATAAAAATAAGGGAGGGGGAGCAATAATCTATTATATTCCTTTTGTTTCACGAAGATTGGTACTCTAACTAGTAATAGTGGTTACCCATATTGCCCTCCTAAATGAAAACTTTAAACAAGAATAGCTGGAAGATAAGCCATTAACCTTCACCTACCCAAAAATAATACAGTAGTATTATCATTTAGCGTGCACATTAGTATCCAGATAATTAACCATATCGACCAAACAACTAATAGTTCAAGATTTACACATTGCCATTCATACCTTCAATTAAAAGTTCAACTATGAATAAGTATAAATTATAGAAATAATATGTAGGAAACTCACCTTGTGATTTTGAGGTCATGAGTTCGAGCCCCATCAATTACATATGTTTGGGAATAGAGGATTATCTTTCCTCCCCTCTACTCTCAAGCATTGACCTGCGGAGATTGACCGGCTTAACCTGTAAAAGTGTCAATTCAGTAAAGTCATTCATCTTACCTTAAAAAAATATATATTAAACAAATTGAACTTAACAAAATTCCAACTATATTTTATGTTAAAACAAAAAATGGCTATCACTTCGATGTCGTCTAAACAAATTAAATCAGATTGAACATTATTGCTGGTAGTAGAACTAGAGTATGGGTCGACTCTATACTCGCAGTCTCGTACCGTAACACTAATTGCATACGACGCCGACACTCGTATTATTTCTGCCTATTTTGGCACATTGGCGATTGTAGGTGCTTAAAATTTAGTGCCCCTCAAACGAAAGCACAAAACTACCACGGAAACAATTATAAGGAGTAAAAATTTACAACAATATGAAAACTGTTTGAACTGTTTTGATTAATTTGTTTTTAATTTAACTTCTCTATCATCTTTCTAAATTTGTGTGTCATGCATGGATTATGTCGTGACTTAAATAAATGAAGTATAACAAATATAATTGATGTTTGTTGAATGATTTTTAAAAAAGCTAAGTGTAACCTCGCCTAATCAAAGTAAGATTCAATGAAACATTCTTATTATAATTTTTGAATATCAATCACCATTGTAATATCTAAGATTCAATTATCTAACTTATTAATTAAAATGTACCTCTTTTCCTTTTTCCATTTGTTCTGGTTTTGAGCAATAATTTTGATCATCAAATAACTATTTGAAACGTCTAAATCAAACAAAAATTAATGATAATTATAGCTATAACATTGTTTGATCAACTAAGTTCTCGATAGTAAGTAACTAACAAGCTAGATCGAGCTAACTAGCTCGTTCACACGAAATTGTCAAATTAATCTTGTAAGAATTTAACAATAATGAGACCAATTTGGTACCCTAATAATAATAATAATAATAATAATAATAATAATAATAATTAGTGGTTACCCTTACTGCCCTCCAAACTTGAAAACTTGAAACAAGAATAGCTGGAAGAGTGGAAGATAAGGTACTTTGACCTTCACCTACCCAAAAATAATAGTATTATCATTTAGCATGCACAAATTGCACACTAGCAAGTTTTGAATAATTCAAACGAAGTACTTGTCAAATTAAGCACACATTTTCAATATTCTCATTCATCGTTATGGAATATTTATACAAAGTATATGACTTGGGGAATAATTCTCCTCACAAGATAATATCACAAGATCACAAAATATATTCTATATTCTATCATATAATAAGATATATTCTATCTTAACATCGATCCCCCCTCAAGTTGGAGCATGTAGATCTCGAATGCCCAACTTGTCAAGTAGGAACTAACTCAAACTAAGCCTTTCCCAACGCCTTCGTAAATATGTCAGCCAATTGCATCTTTGTAGGAACATACGAAGGTGAAATCAAACCATCTTTAATCGCATCTCTCACAATATGCATATCAACTTCAATATGTTTTGTTCTCTCATGAAACACCGGATTTTGAGCAATGTACAAAGCTCATTGACTATCACAGAATAAATTCATACCCTGCGAATGTTGCATACCCAAATCTCGTAATAGTTGTTTCAACCATTTTAATTCACAAGTCACGCCCGCCATTGACCTATATTCCGCTTCCGAAGATGATTTAGACACAGTAGGCTGCTTCTTAGTTTTCCATGACACTGGGGAAAAACCAAGCAACACAAACTAACCTGTCAACAACCGTCTAGTCAAAGGATAACTCGCCCAACCAGAATCACACCACCCTTCAAGCCTCAATTCACTATCATATTGAAGAAGTATCCCTTGACCCGGATTCTTCTTCAAATATCGAACTACATGAAGTGCAGCTTTCCAATGTTCTTCTCTCGAACTCTGCATAAACTGAGACAATATATGAACAGAATACACAAGATCTGGTCGAGTCACAGATAAATAAATTAGGCGCCCAACAAGCCTCCTATACTTCTCGACATCCTCTAACATCCTCCCTTCTGCAAGGGCCAACTTGTGATTTTGTTCCATCGGGAACCTGCAGACTTAGCACACAATAATCCAGTCTCGGAAATAATGTCAAGGGAATATTTCCGTTGACAAATATAGAACCCCTATTTGCTTCGAGCTACCTCAAGGCCTAGGAAGTATTTCAACATTCCCAAATCTTTCATCTTAAAACAATTTCCCAAATATTCCTTGAATTTCGACAAGGTATTTTTATCATTCCCTACAACAATCAAGTCATCAACATAGATTAACACATTCAACTGCAATTTTTCTCTGGTCAATGTGAGCGGATTATTTAAATCCATATTTCTTCAAAGCTGCAGTCAATTTAGCAAACCAACATCTAGGAGCCTGTTTTAGACCATACAATGATTTCTTCATCCTGCACACATAATCATAATTGGTTTTATTGAAACCGGGAGGAATTTTCATGTATATTTCTTCCTCTAGGTCTCCATGTAAGAATGCATTATGCACATCCATCTGATGTACTTCCTAATTCTTCACAGTTGCAATTGTCAGAAATGTTCTAACTGTCGCCATCTTCGCTACTGGAGCGAAGGTCTCATTGTAATCTAGACCTTCAACTTGATGATTGCCCAAGATTACCAATCTCGCCTTCTGCAAATTACCATGCTTATCTCACTTCTCTATATACACCAACTTGCTACCAAGTGCTTTCTTTCCAGGCTAAAGCTTCTCAAGAACCCACGTGCCTTGCTCTTCAAGAGCTTTAATCTCGACAACCATTGCATCTCTCCACCCTGCATGCTTCATAGCCTCTTTAAAAATTTTAGGCTCATGACCTGCTGTTATAGCTGCTATGTACTTTCTATGTTTTTCTGAAAAACGTGATCAATCAACAGAATATGTGAAAGGATGAGGAGTACCCGAGGAGAATGAAATAAGTGTAGCTTTGTTGGATGGACTGTTTTTCCGTATCGTATGCGTCACATAATCTCGCAATTTCATCAACGGAATTTTTGGCCGCTTCCCTTTTCCTAACTCCTCAACCTCACTCCTTTGTTTACGCCCCATCGCAATCCCCTCACTCTCACAAGGCTGCTACACGCAACAAGCCCCTGCGTTGCCTATCTGCTGCTCGCACTGCTGTGCGTCCCCAAGTGGTTGTTGGCTGCTACCACCATCGCCTGCTGGATCCTTAGCAAGCTGGACAGTATTGCGTAGGATGCCAGCAATCCCCTCCGCATGCGGGCTGCGGTCTAAGCCTTCTGGTCGCGGCCTGGCTGCGGTGTGGTCTGTCCTACGCCCCTCATTGCCACGTACATCACTTGCCCCATTGTACCACTCGTCATCACTGCCATACCCTTCCACCATGCTTGGGTGTCTGTCCCTAGATGTAACCTCACAGACCGGGGTAGTAAACGGGAAAATAGTCTACAAAAATCGCACATCTCGAGAAACAAAAATTTCTTTGGTTTCCAAATCAAACACTCTCCAACCTTTCTTCCCAAATAGATACCCCAAAAACACACACTTTCTACTCCGAATAGCAAATTTATCACCCTTACTCCTTTGATTATGAGCATAGCACGAACAACCAAAAACACGAATATAGTCATAAGAAGGTGGTTTATTGAACAAAATTTCAAACGGGGTTTTATTTCCAAGCAAAAGTGTCGGGTTATTAAATGACAAGCTGATAAAACACACTCTCCACAAAACTTCAATGGAAAATTTCCTTGGAATCTCAATGCTTTCGCCACAATTAATATATGTTGATGTTTTCTCTCGACTCTCCCATTTTGTTGTGGTGTTCCCACACACGATGTCTCAAATATTATGCCACTTTTACAAAAATAATCACGCAAGCAGTTAAACTCCATTCCATTATCACTTCTAACAATGTTAACCACTTGATCAAATTGACGTTTAATCATAGCAATAAAGCTCAAGAACATTTTTTCAACGTCGGGTTATTTTTCAATAAATAAATCCAAATTCTTCTAGAAAAATCATCAACTATTGTTAAAAAATAATGTGCTCCACAAGAAGAAGGTGCTTTATACGAACCCCACAAATCTATATGAATAAGTTCGTATATACGACTTGCATTATTCTCACTAATTGGAAAACTACATCTAGTTTGTTTAGCACGGGGACAAACATCACATGTTTTATTATTATGTCACCTAGAAGAACTACTCACAATCAGAATCATCTTCAACACCGTCTCTGAAGGGCGACCCATCCGTTGATGCCATAAATTGATCGAAGACTCTCCATCCACCGTTAGAACCTTCACTTGAGGAACACCACGGAAAAGGTACAGTCCATCTTCACGTTCAGCCACACTAATCACCCTCCTCGTTTGAAGGTCCTGTATAACACATATTTTGTTAGTAAATTGCATCACACACTTAGACTCATCACTCAATTGAGTTACAGTTACTAAATTGCAAGTTAATTGAGGCACATAAAGAACATTATCAAGCCGTAATCCACCGGGCAATATCACCGTTCCCAATTGATCTGCATTCACCGATTTCCATCGGGCAAACCAATGGGACAATTTTGAACTCGCTTCACATCTTTGAGCATCGAAAAATCACATGTCACATGATTAGATGCCCTCGTATCTACAATCCAAGGGATAGTAATTTCCTTACCGTGCTTGAATCCAAAATTTGCTGAATTTGGGTAGCATTCACCTTAACCAAGCTCGTTGCACCATTAGGGGATACCTTCGATTGTTGCCCATTATTCGAACCACCAGCCACCTTGTTTGCACGCACATTCTGCGAAGAAGGAGGGGTAGCTGCTGCCGAGCCACTACTATTATTGCGTGACCCACGACCTCCATTGCTACGCCCCCCACCACGACCACCACCATGGCCAGGACCTCTTCCGCCACGTCCCCTATCTCCCCACCATTCGAAATAGCCATGGATTTGAAAACACCCCTCTTCATCATGACCTTCCCGATTACAATGGTTACAAAATTTGTCACTTTTATCAACGTATTTCTGTTTTGATCGTGCATCCAATCTAAATGCACTCACTTATTTTCCTTGAGTGTGACACCATCACGGAGTCGCTCAGTCATCATAATATTTTGATAGGCAATGTCAATCGTCGAAAAAGGTTTTTGAGCGAGAAGATGAGCACGAATTGCTGCATAATGATCATCCAACCCAATCAAAAAATAATGAAGACAATCTTCTTCTCTGATCTCCTCAACTTGAGAAACAATGTTGCAAGTACACTTCCCACACGCACACTTGGGCACACACATGAATGTGAGAAGCTCCTTCCACACCTTCGAAACTCTGCCAAAGTAATCAACCATAGACTCGTTGGAACTTTACTTGCATTCACCTAAAGAAGTCTTCAATTGGCACACACGAGTACCACTCACCACACAAAATCGATTCTTTAAATTTGTCCAAAGAATACTCACATCATCATAGTCACCAATCGTCGATCGCACCTTCGGATCAAGAGTATTTGTGATCACAACACTAGCATAGATTGCACAGTAATCCAATCGTCCACCTTCGAAGCTGGTTCTGTGGGTTTTGCAATTGTTCCATCTACAAAACCGAATTTTCGCTTAGCCATCAAAACCCTTCGAATAGCTTGTGACCATTCATCATAATTCTCACCATGCAATTGTATAGGCGTGATCACATTATCGGGACTATCACTCGACCCTAGGTAATACGTTAAATCAATCGGAGTTTTATCACCCATACCTCACACATTAATCTCACACGGCTAAAAAAAAAAAAAAAAAAAAAAAAAAAAATAAATAAATAAATAATAATAATAATAATAATAATAATAATAATAATAATAATAATAATAATAATAATAATTAGGGTTTTAACCTTAGCTCATGATACCATGTCAAATTGAGCATACATTCTCAATATTCTCATTCAACATTATGGAATATTTATACAAAGTATATGACTTGGGGAATAATTCTCCTCACAAGATAATATCACAAGATCACAAAATATATTCTATATTCTATCATATAATAAGATATATTCTATCTTAACGGTACTCGACTACTCGTATATTACACCAGCTACCATCACCGAGTGATAATTGAATTGACAAAAACAAGGAACCTCTAAAATAGTGTAGGTAATTATTGAAATTTCTATGGTATATCCGAAAAGATAAATGTCACTAGTTTAACAATTATTGTTTTAATCTCAATTTTTTTTTATCTTTTTTATTTTTGAAGGGATCTCATTGTAAATTTTTAAATATCAGCTTTTTAACTTTTTAATATATATAATTAAAAGTTTTTAATAGTGAATATTATACATTGGCAACAAAAAAAAATGAAAATAATGTATATAAAGTATATTGTAAACATGAGAGTGAGGAATAGCTTATATGATAGAGCTTCTCTTTCGATTCTAAGAGATTCAAGGATCGATTCTCATCACCCGCCCTTGTAGCTCTTTAAACACCAAAAAAAAAAAAATATCGTAAACATAGATTTTAAAAAAAACATTCAAAAAAAAAAACAATAGATTTTAGAAATTACCCCGTATTAGATAGCCACGACACCAGTTTACTACATGTACATCTTCGTATACTTGCATACGAAGTATACATGTGAATTGAAAATTTATTTGATTACTACATCCATTCAAGTTTACTTGCACTACTTTCTTATTTTGGGTGTTCTGATTTACTTGCTCCATTTTACATTTATCAATTTTTTTCTATGTATTTTTTTAACTTGCATAGAATCGGTGAAATTACTGCAAATGACTGCAGAAGAAGTTAAGTAAATTGGGTTGGCCGGAGACTGGGAGTAGCTTGCATACAATTTGAGTAATGGTCAGAATCAGATTTTTTGGGCGACGGATTTTGTTCCAATTATACTAAGGAGACCTGAAAATAAGTACACAAAGTCTATCTCAGCTCTTATACTTTTATACATAACCCTGTAAAGTGTGACGTTGTCTTTTGAGCATAACCATGTCGATGATTTACAACCACAGAAATTGCTAACAACAGATAAAACTACAGCTATGAAGTATAATTCTTTGAGATTTCCATTATTCGACTTTCTCCACTCCACCTGCCATATTGTTATCTGCAACAGTTTCTCTCACAAACCTGGAACATCATAACATATATCAAACTAGAACGTGAGGACATCGTTTGAGAGATGATGAATAGATTTTGAAGCATATTTATAATCTCAGTGACTGTGAATCAAAAGGCAGCAGGATATTGTACCTTGCTATCTTCTCCTTAGAAGATTGCAAAATGTAGATGGACAAAACAACTGATAGCATAAGACCTGTTAAAAAGCACCAAAAGTCAGTATAATGATTGTATGGCTAGATACACCCTCCCAATAGAATAGGCCACTTTGTATTGCCCTTATTGATACCTTAAAAAAGAGTTGTAAATCAAAACTATATTGGTGTAAGAAGATATATATTAAATAGTCATAGTAAGGGATAATTTTAGTAACTCAATCATAAACTAACCCCAGGAAAATATGGTGCATTATTTAGAGAGAGGAGGGTTCTAGTTTGATGTGTCAAACAGCTTGCCAATAAACTGCATATAATTGCAACAATGTAAAAGAACTCATATAGAGAGTGTCTCCTGACCATGCTGCCTACAAAAGAAAAAGAAACCAAATCTATTCTACTTCGCATGAAGGGGACTTGGCCACCCTTGATATGCTTAAATCGAGTAGGTTTTCTTGATTCATTGCTAAAAGTAAGAGTTGATTATTAACTCCACAGAAACCACACAAATTTTTAATTAACATGCTGCAAAGTAAGTTGTATATAACTTCACAGTGTTTGGTGTCAATTTTGTTGTTGTGCTCTAGTTAAAGGATTGGACACTGGAGCTTTTACTTGATTCACTTTGAGAATGCACAAAAAGCAGTTGATAGAATCCAAAATAAATACCTGAACCAAAGAGAACAAAAAATCCAGAACTGACATCTATCTCAGAGTGTTCTTCCCTGCAATGCATCACAAAGCACATAAATCAATCAAAAGGAAAACTTAAGACACATTGGGAATCCAAAATTAAGCTGAACAAGATAGATCATCTAGAATAACAAATCAACACAACGCAACAGAAACAGCTAGGATGATAAGCCCAATTAAAATCAATTGACCATAAGGAAAAAAAAAAAGGGGAATACGTTATTTATTCAGAAAAAAGTAAAACACGATTTTGAAGGGGCCTACAAACGTAGGTAGGCTATTTATGTAAGGTAAAACCCAGATGAATACATCCGAATTATACAGTTGGAACTATCAAGCATCTATTGTGGGTTTCATAACATATAATGGCATCATTTATTCGAAAGAGGGATAATCAGCTGTAATTCAATTTGTTGTAGTTTATAACTGCAGTAGTTATTCAATTTGATGATTGTGTGTCTTCTTGCACTGATGATCATTACAGTTATCCAGGAAGTCAGGTTCTCAACAAGTATATCTCTGAAGATCAAAAGGAAATCTAGAGTGCGTGTCTGTAGGGGATAATTAGAGGACATTTCGAGCTTTGGTCTCTCTCAAGAAGAGCAAAGCTTCTAAAGGGAAAAAAAGCAGTCTTAGTACATGTATTGGATACTATTGTTTCCTTCTCTCAATCTGGCAGCTAGCTTGGGGGTATACCATGAAAGGAATTAGTGAAAATGGCAGGAGGTGTCTAATCAACTAGAGCAGCAATCTTTTTTATTTTTATAACAATAATGAGGCCACAAAAGAAAGCAATATCAGACTCATTTCACAGTACAACATTACTAATAAGTGCCCCAAGCTCAAAGCTAATAAGGTCTAAAATGCTACTGGTAAGTAGATCTCGATTTATCACCATCACAAATATCCTTTCCTCCAAATGGGCAACATTCTGCTACATCAAGAGACAAGAGTAACCAAGAAAATGAAGAATTATTATGAGGTGCTTCCCAACCCTATATTACCCAACAGAGTGGACTTTGTGAAAGCCTATGATTTTAAGTTATAACAATGGGAACTTCATTTTGGATATGCTCTTTTGCTTTTTAGAAGATTGTCTAGTACAGAACACTTGAGTCTTCTGCAACAAAGACACAATAGTATCCTTTTATAAGAGAGTAAAGCACAAACACAATCCCTCAATTTTGGAATAAGTAGCATTTTAGTCCCTCATCTTTAAGTGTGGCAAAAAACTGACCACCTGAATGACTAATCAAAGTTGAAGGACTTTCCTGATGACTAAGCAAAGTTTAGGGATGTAAATGTTGACTTGGACAAATAAATAAATAAAAAAGATACAAATTTTGAAGGACCTTTAGGCTTACGTGGCAAGAAATAAAATTTAAATAAGAAAGTTGAGGGACTTATAGGCTTGCGTGGCAAAAAACAACATTTGTTGATGGGTGGAGGACTAATGTTTGGCCTACATCTTCCGGTCTCTCTCCTCAGACAACCGTGAACGATGCTCCCTCGTCTGTAAACGGTGGTTCCTCATCGAAGGTCAAAGTCATTGTCGCCTCTACCTCAACTTGGAGATCTCAACTTACCTTCCCTCGCGATTTGGTTTGGTTATGAAGCTTGCTCTTCGATGCGACCGTCAATCCATCAATGCAAGCGACGATGCCCTTGTCCTAGTCTCTCTTGGATGCCCAGAACCCGACTCGCTTGAAACTCCAGGGTTGCCACAGGCTCACCGGCCTCAGAACGCCGCGTTCGCACAGTATTATAATTCCCTAAACGCTGTCTTTAAACACTATGTTTTGCTAGAGGAGATTTCGATTAAGTGTCTATGTGGGATTAACAACAATGGCGATTCAGAGGCCGGCACCTAGCCTATCGGGCCTAGGCTTGCATCTAAGTTTTTGAAGAGTATTGTCTCATTGAGATTCAATTTCTTCCTAGTCCTCTTAATTAGTTTGCTTAATAATTAAGAGATGAATATCAAAGACTTTATATCAAAAGAAACGAATTTCAATTCAAGTTTAAGATAATAAGTAAATAATTTATTTTAAAAAAAAAGGTGGTTTAGAATTTCATTTTTCACCAAGCCAAATTTCCTAGTTAGGTATTTAATAATCAATTCTCCTAAAGTGGATAAATTTTTCTGATAAAATTAATTTTGGACTTTTATTTGTCCAAGTGTGAGGCTAAGCCCTTGAAGTTTCCTTTGTAATGGTGTTTTTTGCCATCTCAGACTATAAGTCCCCCAACTTTCTTATTTAATTTCTATCCCTTACCATGTAAACATAGAGGTCCCTAAAATTTATATATATTATTTAATTATTTGTCCAAGTCAGAATTTACATCCCTAAACTTTGCTTAGTCATCTTATTCCATGTGATCAGAAGGACCTTTATGCCACACTTGAAAAATGAGGGACTAAAATGCTACTATTACCAAAGTTTGAGGAACTGAATTTGTGCTTTACTCTTTTATATGAGATCAAAGTTCTTAATGCTACCTCTGTTTCATATTATGTGCAACATAATAAAAATTTCTACACATTAAATGCAACAAATGTTTTCTTTCCTTTTAAACTTGACATCTCTCTCTCTCTCTCTCTCTCTCTCTCTCTCTCCCCTCATCACATGCATCTTTATCTTTCTCTCTCCATTTAACACTTACAAAAAAAATTTGCCCAGGAGTCCATGCAAACTCATTTGTTGTAAATAGTATGAAACAGAGGTAGTAAATTAATAATAAAAAGGTGGAAAATACATTAATAGGAAAGAAGATATATGGAGAAATTAAAACTGACCACATGAGTGGAAATACACTCAAAATTTTATTACAAGGTGACATATGAACCAAATAATACCTTGGAAAGGTTTGTTAAACTTTAAAGCCTACAAACATGTACAATTAAAAAACAAAACAAAATCTTAAACAAATAGGGAAAAGATTTGAAACCTAGAAAGAGAAATTATCTTCCTAAGTTTAGAAACCAATACTAACCAAGTATATCTGACAAGCACATGTTTTGGCCAATGCTGAGGGTCCCAGAATTGCTTACGTATGTCTGGATGAATTTCAACATCTGTGGGGAAAAAAGGTTAGAGATGTAAAATATCAAGAGAAATCCATGAAGAGCTTAATTTCATTCTTCCATCATCTAGCAAGAACATTTTAATCTAATAAGAAAAGTTGCTGGACGTCACTATGACAATCCATTATTCCAGGCAGTCATCACTTGATGTACAGATCAGGGTCACGAGATAAATGGATGATATCATAGCGTAAAGGTGGTTGTCAAGGAGTGTTCCAAAAATTAATATAATAGATAATTAAAACTGTGTTCTGAAGCTTTATTATACCAAATTCAATTCATATATCCATGCAATTGACGACAATGTGAATGGAAAATTTGCCTCGCGCTTTGGGAGGCAACAATACAGTCAATAGTGCATTGCATTTTATTGGCAAATTTTCAAAAAAAAAAGTAAAATATAAATAAATAAAAACAAGCACACTGAAGCACGGTACCAGATTGGATTACAGAATTCTGTCCTTTAGGATTACAAACTTGGAAATTACCACAGGGGCAATAAATATTCATCAGAATACTTTTAGTATGACAAGAACAACAAACTCTCTTGAATAGACTCTCTTACTTCTATGAAGCACTTATATTGGGTTTCTATTCTAAACTTCTAACTATCTAACAGGGTGTTAAGTGGATGGCTAATGGATAGTCATCTTCAAATTCACAAGACATTCCCTAATTTTTCTTCCATCAAACAAGAGATTTTGTCTTGCTGATAACTTGAAACCAATCTCTTACGAAGTTTCAGATATATATTATAAAGATGCTTGATTGCTAATGCCAAACCCTGTCCTTACAAAAATAATTTTTATGAGGCATCACTCTCAATGATTTCATGTTAAGGTCATATATCCATTAGAAGTCAAGCTACAGCCTTAAACCACCAAAGCCATTTCTCTGCCTAAAACAGTTTTACAATTTGCCGACAAACAAGTCCCAGGCTCTTAGTTCACAGAATGATTTTACCACATATACATCACAACTTGACATAACAAGGAATGCTGGACAAGCAACTGCAAAAGATTACACTTAAACTCCCTCTTAAAACTTCCTTCATCTAAACTTTAAGACTCTACCTTGATTTAATGCCCAAAAGAGAAGGGAAAAAAACCTTCAAGTTCGCACCAAATGATATCCTAAAACTTAGAAAGCTTCGGACAAATGTCTTAATACAGAATAAAAATCTACAAAAGATTCTTAAATGAGGTATCAACATTGATCAATGACACTAGATGTAATGAGCTCAAATATCAAGCGACATGTGCCAGTGCACCTATCTCTAAGTCATCCAAAGTCTAGGTATTTAGAAAGTGTATCAAACGTATTATTAATTTGTAATGACACTTCATCTCATCCCACCATATGAAAACAGAAAATGAACCAGCAATACGATCATACTCTTCTCCCCTAAACTTAAAATCCTAAAGCCATTTGAAAAAGAGGCTTATAATCTTTAATCACAACAGAACAATCATCACCTAGAATCAAGCAGACAGAAGCATAATGTACAATCTACTTCACTACCCCATACTTATTTAACCAGATATCATCTTCATAAGTTTAAATAAATTCTACATGTGTAGTGTGTAATTTGTAATGTATAAAAGACCTAAAGACCTATTTATCTCACAATCAAACACATGTATCAATGTATGATCTCTTTTTTAAAAGCTTCCCTCTCCAATCCCTGCAACACCTAAATAGGGCTCAAGTCATACCCTCTCAACATATGTCAAAAGATTCTTCCATGAAAAGGTGATTTGGCCAACATTAGCCTTTGGCGTCCAAGTCAAACAATTATCTTCCTACACCTATCATCATCCAAGAATTGACTACCCACATCAGAAGTAACTCCACCGGAATATTCTTCAAGCAAGCCACTCTCTCAAACTCATCATTTAACAATCCATCATCTTCATGAATTATCATCAACGTTCAAGTCCCTCCTTTTTGGATTCTGATATCAATAACGCTTCCACAGTCCACTACTGTGACTTCTCCTAAACATACTCCAACTTCCTAATGCCAACCAGACATCTCACAATCACTCCAGCATTTCCAAAACAAAATTTCTTTTACTCAAGCTGAGACGCTATAAGTCTAGAAACACCAAAAATTACAGCACTGAGCTTAGCTAAACACAACTTTGCGCAAACTTTTGAGATGGAGACGAGGGGGCTTCTAGAATAGGGATTAACGTAGTTTTCTATCAAAATAGTAATTCCATAGATCAGGGCATTCTGACTTGCAACAAAGTCCTAGTTAGAGCTACACATTGTTGCACATGCAGGAGGAGAACTAATACTAAGTCAAAGACATTTCAAAAATCAATAATTCATTTCCATAGGGAATGCAATGTTGAGGAAAATGATTTCTTTTACCATGTCGGTGATAGGAAGGGGAGGAAAGTACTTTACATTTATACTACTAAGTTCATATACTCTAATACTTCCTCTGCTTTTTTAATCTTGTAACACACCTTCTTGGCACGCTATTTGAGGAAATAATTAGAAAAGGTAAACGAACCATTTAGGTATAAAATTAAAACCATATCAACTTAAAACTTTCTTCTTATCGATGGTAAACCCATTTCAGCTAATTAACCCGTTTACGTCTAATATCCTTTCTCAAACTCCATGCCAAAGTGGTGTGTTGCAAGTAAATATACACGGAGGTCTCAGCTATTGAAAATTCACAAGAATCTGGGGCAGTTTGCATGTGCCTAATGAGACTTATGAAAGTAGTGAAGGCAATGTTGAGAACATTGAGAGAAGTTAGTCATGTAGGACTGAGAGAAGGCTATAAGAATTATTATTTTGAATCATAATCATTGCAAAGAATGAGCAATCAAACAACAGGAATTTAAGAAGACACGTAGGCAGCAGCTGATGCCCCTGGCTGAAATTGTAAGGGAACCATAAGATTTCCACATGTTAAAAAGAGTTCACATTCTAGTCCATCCCGCCACATAACACTCTCACATTCAACAGATCTTATGCTACGTCATCCACATATAATTTAAAGAAAATACAAACAAGGTCAATACAAGATTTAAACTCGTGACCCCTCCAGTTTAAACATTCAAGACCTATTCACTGAGCTATGATTTTTACATATTATCATCTCAAAAGAAAATAAGAAATACTTGTATATTAAATGATAAAATAGGAAAGAATTTAGTTAAAAATTTCAGTTATAGATTTCACGCATAATGTCACAAACCCACAACTATTGTCCATATAATGAAGTTAGATTCAAATAAACTAGTTACTCCAGCTTCTTGATGCGGAACAACTTTGTCATTCAATTGGCTTACTACAATGTCATTTACTTTACATACACCCATACAGGAACATAAAGGAAACACCAGTAAGCAATTCATTGAATATTGAGTTTCCAATTTTAAAAGAGCTAAAGATATAGATACAAGATACATTTTGTAAGGGTTGAAAGTGGCATCATAATTACCGGGTAAATCAGACCACCTTTTATAAAAAATTTAAATATCTACAAAATATAGAAATAAATACAATAAATTAACAACCCTTATAAAGCCACTGCGTCCTTCATAGGGAAGATTCTTAAGGAAGCCATATGAGGAAGAACTGACTGATATCATAACAATTAATAATAGGATCACTTTTCATGCTCAATAACTCAACATGAACCACTGTCTATTCAACATATTGAGCATCTAAGGCATGCAAACACCTATTAATGTCAAACTGGAAGCAATTAAACCAAGAACGAAAATAAGGACTCGAGTCCATGAAACTATGTGTGAAAAATCTGCTAAAATAAACCGGTAAACCATTCAAAACAAAATAGAGTGATACAATCAGCACAAAACAGTTATACGGGTATAGATGAAAGGAAAATGTAACGTACAATGGTGAGGCATATCAACAACTTTTGCAGTTATGCCAAGCAGATCACCTCCTGAATACCTCTGCATCAGAAAACATCAGGAAGACAATGGTCAAAGGTTTTTCCGATTGGGACAAGCTCCGTGATAGAAACTTGAAATTGCAACTCCACTCATGATGCCAATCACCAAGCCTTTCTCTCACCAACACCTCAACTCCTTAAGTATTAGTTTTACAAATAACCAGCCAACTTACAACTTAAGAAGTGTTGATGAAGAAAGTGAATGTGAAAGTTGGCCAAAACCATGAGTCCATGACAGTCGTACCAAAACAGCACGGTAATTAACATGTTTAGGTTGAGTTTACAACCCAATTAATCAAGTGGCTTCACACACTCAAAGAAGCATCAAAACATCTATTTGAATAGATTAAAGTAGCATTAGCCTAAACATAAGCTGCTTCAACCAATTACCCAATAATTAAAAATAAAAAAGAGGCCCCCAAAGAAATAATAAAGGTGAATGTGGAAGTTAGCTAAGAAACGAAAGGAATGCTAAAGATGGACCATGCTTTACAAGATACTATAAATACATATGTGCCTTTTAGATTCAGCTAAATCACCATAATTTCCATGCAAATAAAAATATGTTCAGACAAAAAAAATGAACAAATAAAGTAAAATGAACAGTTGAACAACTAAGGTTCAAGTAACCTGCTTCAGGTCGATCCACTTTGATTCAGGGTTGACATTTTGATCCCTTGAAATAGATAGGCTTTGTTAGAATTAAGGGGTGTCAACCCATTTGTTATTAAAAGAGCAAAAACTGTTTAAGGCAATCTCTTTGCTAGCTCTAAGTCTATTCTGAGAGACAGACTACATCAAATGCAAGTAAAACATAGTGACAGAAACATCAAGAAGTAGTTAAAGACAAAATTTGGCACAAGCTTAGACACTGACGCATTGTATGTGCACTGTAAGTGGGCAATGTGCTCCATAAGACCATATACTTGATTAAAAAAAAAATTGTTTAAGATAATTGTTGATAAGCTTTACATTTTTTGGTGGTGTTACACATAAATCTTATAATTGATGTAAAAGCTTGAAAGATTGTATCTTGAAATTGATTACATATGTTATTTTTCAAAATTATACGTCCACGTAAGGACTTATGATTTTCTATTGATGTCAAAAATTTCAGCGTAGAGCCGTAGAGTCAATAGAGGGGCAAGAGCATGAAAAATCTTGTTGGAAGAAAAGCAAATGTATTGAGAGCTTAGTTTTTTTTGGATAATTATAAGAAGAATCATTTTCAATTTCCCTTTTTCCCTTCATAATTTTTTAGGGATATTAATAGAGGTATTTTGGGAAGTAAAAACAATAGTACCAAAAAGATCTTTTGGCTTTACATCTAACACATGACATAGATTTACTCACACAAGCCAACTAAGTATCAGAAAAAGATTAATTCAACTGTCTCACTGAGCTTTACGATTTTTTTTCCTTTTATTATATGGGAGCCTAGCTTTCCTCAAAAAAAAATATGGGAGCCTAGCTATGCCCTGGCAATCAATTCTAAAAAACATCATCTCTATGATTACCAGGTATGGCCACAAAAACTGCACCTGCCACCTTCTCAAACTCCGAAAATGGAAGCCTCATCCAAGGCACTAGTAATAATCGGTACGTACCAAATGCATGTCAATCATTGGAACCTCAGAACTCTTCCGATTTATGATGTAAAGCCAGGGAAGCTGAAATTTTTCTTTCCCAACTTGGAACGTTCTACAGAAAGCAATAAGAAATCAGAGTGGGTAACACCCCAAGTAGTAATAACAGTTACAAATCAGGAACTCAATTACAGGACAATCAATCAACAAGAAAATACAATCTAGAACAATAGATGACAGACAGTCTAATGAATTACTAGCCAACCAACAATCTTGACAAGTGTTGGAGCACCCAAAATATCCAGTGTTAAAAAGGCATGATGTCCACTGAGAAGGTAGATCATGAACTCTAGATCTTAAGTGTATGAAGTGAGGATGTGTACCAGCCAAAGCAAGTTGCACAGCTCAAATGTTGAAGGATATTCATCATGCACATGATATATATTGAGTAAACAAGCTATACAATCATAAAATGTTTCAAATAGACCATCAGCGTAGGAAGTATTGCAGCACATTATCCAAATGTAGATCAGGAGCTTTTTCCACCTAAATAAATTCTAAGCGCGCTTGCAATATTTGTCAAGTTTAGAGCAAAGAGCCATCGTGTCATGTTTTGAATGTTTTAACACTCAAACCATGTGGTGCTCACTTGTCTTCTGATGACAAGGATGCAACTTCGATGCAGGAAAGGGCTTGTAAATGTGTAGTGAGCACATGCGGCGCTTTGAAATGAGAAGAGGAACTCTTGCCTATTGGTGTGTTAAGTAATGAACAAGAGCTTAGCAGGCACAACTGCTGAGATGGCAAGAGGAGGACTTTGCTTAAGCACAAATCGTATATTGGTCTAACAACACTCAGGTAAATAAAGCAAGTGGTGTGAACTATTCATAAATCCCCCAAAAAGAGGATTATTTGCGAGATAACTTCACAGCAGTAACGTTATGGAATATTAAGCTTAGGAAACTTCAAAGAACACTACAAGGCATAAAGTTAAGTATATAAATGCAAAATTGAGGTGGGTTCTAACACATCTCCTCTTGCACCAAGTATGCCTAACAGCCTAAGTGCCCCTCAATACATCGCTTAATTGAAATTGGGACCCAAGAAAGTGATTGGTTCAAAATTGCCTTCAAATGCTATAATACATACCTATAAGTACCTAACACAAGAATACAGAACATTCTAGAATATCTCAGAATCCTCAACCAGCTATAGGCTTACACAGATATACCTTCAGCTAACACCAAATTCCACCCAATTGAGCCTAAAGAACTTCTCTTTTCGTCCTGTTAAAAATCTACTTGTATTCCTGTTAGGGATGTCCAAAATTTCTTGTCACTTTATAAATTAAAAAATTAACCCACTCAATCCATGTGATGTGGAACCTCAAACCCCCCCCCCCAACCCCCCTAAGGGCATTTTTTTTACTTTACTTAAATAACTTATTACTAATTATTACTACATCGTCAAAATCAGATCAGACTAGACCATAGTGCAAAGCATTTGGTCTTTAGAAAAACAAAATAAAAATAACAATTTTTGAACACCTGAACCACAAAAGGCTTCCTGCAATCCTGCACAATCAAGTCTCCGCCATCTTGCTGCCTCCTGCCTACTAACCAGGCTGTTTACTAAATCTCTGAAGCTGATTTGCTGATTGTTAAATTTCTTGGTGCTAAATTACTATACAATTCACTAATTTGGCCTCACCCAAAACCTCATTAGCCATTTATCTACCCGATTTCACTCATAGAATCCAGTTCTACAGTAACTTGCAAGAAAAGGGCTTAATTGCACTTAAACAACACAAATCAAGCTCACAAGAAATTACTCAATAAATGGAATAGGAAACCTAAAAACTCAATATTCGAAACATGAAAAACATGAAATATAGAGTTGCTACTTAAACAAGCATTGAAAGTGAAATTAAGCTTACATTTTATAAGGATCAGCACCAGTGTATCCAGTTGGTTTCGGAATAGGAATCAAAACCTATGCAACATTCAAATCGTGAAATTACAAACTCAGCAACAAAAATCATCACCCAAATTATTCAAAGCAAAAGTTGATTAATTAAACAAAAAACAGAAAAAAAAAATAAATAAATAAAATAAAATAAAATAACTAAATAAAAGAAAAGGGCATGAAATTACCTCTCGATTAACAGCAAAAATGGGGCAATGACGACCAACTATATCATGCCAAACAGTCCTCGACTACAATCAAAAATCAATCAAGAAATTCGAAGAAAAAATCAGAAACCATCGACAAAAATTGCAGTAGTTTTGACATAAAATAGGAGAGAGAGAAAACTGACGGAGTGGTATTGACCCATCCTACTCAAAGGGACGATGTCGCCAGGTCTATATGCAGCAGAAAGAGTAGCCATTGATAGCAACATCATTGAGATTGCAGCAAAGATTGCTGCTCCATCTTCCGCCATTGTTGCGATTTCCAGAGCTCGCTCCTTGAACTTGGCGATCTTCTCTGCTTTTTTTTGTTTGAGCCTGAATTTACATTTGTCTTCGGGCCTTCGGCTTGGTTCGAGTTTTTGAGGTTCGGGGTCGAATGTGTTAAGTAGTGTGTGGTCCGATAATAGCATCTTTTGCATTTTAGCGTGTTTTTTTTGGTCAGCTGACACACCAAAACACTAATCGAGTAACCATTAACCGATCAAATAATTCCTAATTAAGAATAACCTCTGAATGGGTAACTTCTAACCGGATAACCCCTAATCGACCGCATAATTCCTGGCCGACGGAATAACCCTTGACCGAGTATCCTCTGGCCAACCGAGTAACCCCTGACCAAGCAACTTCGGCCACACGATGTGGTCGGCCACATATGAAACTTACTTATATATGTGGCTGACCATACCGTATGACCAACCATCATATGGGTTAATTCGTTAGTGTTATGGGGGTTATTTGGTCATTGTTATAGGGGTTACTCGATCAGTGTTGAAAGAGTTACTTAGTCAATATTTCATAGGTTACTAGGTCAGTGTTATAGGGGCTACTTAGTTTTTTTACAAGCTGCTACATGTTGTGGCTAGCCGCATACAAAAAACGCTAATTGTTGATATGTACTATGTATTTTTTTTATACAATAAAAAACATTTTATTATGACAGTTTAATGGTGTGGACTCGTTTTTTTTTTAATTATTATTATATAGTATAGAGAATAGATAATGATGCAAAAAAATGAAATTCCAGGCATATATGTCTCTGAATTACTTATTCGACAATGAGAATAGTACACGTACCTTCATAATTAGAAAAAATTATGTGAATGAAATTTAAGAATAAAGATATCGCCTACATTATTAGATTAAATCAAGTTATGAAGTTACTAATTTTTCTTTTATTGTTCAATTGTTTGTAATGATAACGTTTTGCGTGAGACTGGACTCATCATGAGTTCAATATATCTGATATTAACAATTAATAATCTAATATATGACATTAATAATCTAATGTCTGACATTAATAATAATATAATATTAATCTAATATTTGAAAATTATTAATCTAATATTAATCTAATATCTGACATTAATAATCTAATAATCTAATGTCAGATATATTAGACTCACTGTGAGTCCAATTCACCCAATTATAAATAAGAATTATGCACTATTTCAAAAAAAAGAAAAAATAAAAGAATTATGCACCTTGTACAAAAATATTTGTAATTTTATAGAATTAGAATTTCATCAAAATTATGATATGATATCTGTTCAATGTCTCCTAATACATATTTCAATGTAGGAGTCCATTTATTAGTGTGCTATTAACAATTGTTTCATTTTTTAAAGATAAATTGATAGATTGTAGTTGTAATGTAGAAGTTTCTAATATTCAAATTTCAAAATTGTTAAATATGTTAGCTAAAAAAAATGGCATCACCCTTGTATTTAGGCGGGAAAAAATTTATTACGTGAGTGACATGTGGACAGTGATGATGTCGGCCACGTTTTGTTTTAGTAATAGTTAATAGATTGGATAGAAATGAAGTATATAAAAAAAAAATCAGGTTAAAAATATATATATATATATATATATATATAATAGTTGTGAAATTTTTAATGACTTAATCTAAAAATCATATTATTCTATGAGATTCTAAATAAAATAATAAAATATCAAAAGATGTTCCTCACATTTTTAAAAAATTATTTTTATTATAAATACAATCTTCTTACTCCGATAATATTTAAAAAATAATTGTTTAAAAGGATGTATTAATTGTATTGCACCTTTTGATTTGTGTCAGTACAATGCATAATAACCGCTATTCTAAAAAAATGCATGTTCTCTCTTAAAACCTAGCCACCATAGTTAAATCTATGGATTACTATATTGTATTGATGGATGGTAAGCTTTAAATTCTACTTCAGTTTTAATTTCTTTAGTCTATAAAGATCACTATGTTAATCCCTCCATGTAGGGTTTAGACATTTTCCTTAGGAAATTGTGCCGGTTGGTATAACTTTGCAGAATTGAAAGTCGATCTTGAGCCTCGTTCAACTTTTATCACTTTTACAACTATATATAAATCAATGGAGCTCCATAACGATACAAAACATCTAAAATTATTTATAAATAGTTCAAAAATGATTATTAATTTAGGAGTGTTTAATACTTGCATTGATAATTTAAATTTCGTAAGAGATAAGTGTAATTGACTTATAACTTTTGTTATATAATACGGAGTAATAAAATCATTCTCTAGCTGTCTCACTCACACACATAAACTAGCTATTCTATATTTTATGTTGGATGACATTCTAAATCACTTGCTATTGGTCAATTGATTATTGCTTATGAGAAAGTTTTACAATATTTTGTGCTATTTACAAATGCAAGCTTCATGCCATGCCTATTTATAGGAAAACAACTAATTTCTAGAGCTTTTAAATCTTCTCATCATTGAACTACAATAGGATGTGCCACCATGCAGTGGCGGATCTTGACAATTTTCTTAAGGGGGCCAATTTACCTTAATATTAATAATTATACAAATACCATAATACTTATATATCAAAGTATATTATTACCTTAATATTATTAATTATTATACAAATACCATAAAAATAAAATAATCATTGATATAATTCTATTTCAATAAGTAATTAACCTGGGTGGATAGATAAAGGTATTATTTGTTATGAGACTTATGACTAATAAATAAAAATCAAATAATACTAAAAAGTCTGGCACAACAAAAAAAAAATTGAAGAGAAACTAATAATTAAAGGCATTGGAATTTTGGATAAAAATAATGCATAAATAGAATAACAAAAAGAGATAATTAAAAGGGTAATATTGTATTTTTGTGTAGTGCAAATAGCTAGTAGTAACGTGAGATTCATTTGCTTTGGGATTTGTGCAACAGAGTAAAGTGAAAAAGTCATACAAGTATATTGTAGTACAAGTATGACATATACAGATATACTCCTAGTAAGCTTGGACGTTTGGTACCAATTTCTTTAGGTAATTTTTGGGCTTTTACTGGACATTGAATATAGAAAAAAATTGGGCCAAATTTTGAGGGGGGGGCAAGCCCTTGCCCGTCCCTTTAAAGGTCCGCCCCTGCCACCATGTATAATATTCTACACTCGTACAAACATCAAGTATGTGGTAGATAGTTAAACTATTTTCCTTTATTTTTATATCTTTTAAGGGCATCCTTCGATGCTTGTAAGTTTCGATCCCTTATTTGAACAACCATTTATTCCAAGTCCACGACTATACTCCCTCCATTTTGCATTAATCGCAATGGTAGGGTTGGCTCAAAGTTTAAGAAAATTATAGACTAACACTTATAAGCTTATAATATAAAGTATTATTAGTAAGAGAGATATATAATAAAAAAGTAGTGTGTGTGGGGTTGGTAGGAAAGAAAAATAATAAAATATTTGTGAAAGTGGGGTTAGTGGGAGAGAGAAATAAATAATGGTGGGTCCTTTCCAAATATAGCAGTGTTGCATTTAATATAAATGGATGTAAAAGGAAAGTGTTGCGATTAATACGAAATGGAGAGAGTATTAGATAATTAGGTGATTTGGATTAGTTTCCTTGGCATCAGTTGACACCATATTACCATCATCATTCAAATGTATTAAGAATGATGATGCAGGATCTAGGAGATGTAGGGATGGTTCCCCCAAGTGATGGGGGTTCGATTCCTCATCCCCCTATTCATGTGATAGGATGGGGGGCCCTCTCCCGTATCTTACCGTTATAAAAAAAATCAAGTGTATTGACAAATTTATCTAGTCGTATTCTTTTACATATTTTTTGCGTGATAAAGCTTATTTTATAATGATAGTGTTTTAAAGGAAGCAAAATGCAACCCAATTGGCACTAATACATAATATTGATACGTTGATTCTTACTAGTCACTAGATCGTATTTGAATTGTGACAATTTGCTACATCAACACAGTTTATAGGATCAAAGTATTATTATCAATTTGCTACATCAACACAGTTTATAGGATAATTACATCAACATGGTGTATTTAGACGAATGCCGACATGGATCGATTACACGTACGTTGTACTTATATTTGGAGCAAAATAAAAATGGACCCAACCCAGGTTGAAGATATGATCATTGTTACAGGATTTATAGAAGCCCAATAAAGACACGTCAAAATTCCACAAAATTTGACCAAAAACGGTGGGTGTCATAACAAATCAGAAGAACCCATAAAGCCCCAAAATTAAAAATTGGAGAGATAGGGTCATAGGAATGGGGCTAGGTAGGTGGGAGGACAAAACATGACAAAACAAAATTTGTATAGTTATATTATTATGATATTCATCAGATAGCCATAGTTTTTATAATTAATGAATTTTTCATCAAACAACCATAAATTAGCATTTAGTTGTACTACCACATTAATAACAAGCATTTGGATTCTGGTTCTCAGTGACAGTTAGTACTACTGTAGTATATTAGACTTAAACTCATTTCATATTAGCCATATAATTTATATGTTGAGTAATCATTAATCCAAAGGTGAATTGTAATTCACCACACATTAAAAATGGTTGGCTCGTAGCAACTTATATAGACCAAAGGGAGTAATTAATTTAAAAACAATAACCAATTAAGATAATTAGAAGATCTTTATCGCACAACCAGTATACTACTTATACCATCATGTAAGGCATAGCTAATGTTATAGAGTAATTTTTTTCCCACCCATGTATTCACAAGGTGCAAACTCATAGAGAAAACACAGGGTTAGTGTCAAGGGTGCACGACCCATTTCATTAAATTGGTCAACACGATCCGATAAGTTTAATTGAGGGTTTGTTTGGTATCGTTGTAATTTTTTGTTTTTCTAAATCATATAATATATGTCATATAATGAATAGAAAATTAGTCTAACTTATTAAAATCATGATAATTTTGAAAACTGACAACAAAAAAGTGGTAACATCTTTTTCTTGTTTCCTATTTTTGGTTTTTTGTTAAAAAAAAACAGAAAACTGAAAACAAAAAACGATGTCAAACAAGCCTTAAACAAATTGGGTTGTGTTGAGATTTCCAACATGAAAC